GGGGGAGGGACAATGCTATGACTCCTGGTGGCAGTGTTATCACTAACATTAGAAGGCTGCCCATCCATCAGTGGGTTTATCTATGTGAACCGGGGGAATCAGTACTTCTCTCATCTCCTAGAGATAAAGCATGTCTCTCGTCAGTCACCCTTCAGGGTTCATCCATCAACCTTGTATTGCCATCAAATTTTCTCTCTAGAGTTCCCAATAGCGGGTGTTTTCTACCATTGATTCCGATTACTCTCCCATAATCAACTGACTCTGATATCAAATGATATACTAGGAACATGGAAGAAATGGGTGCTTCTGAAGAACATATATTTAATTTTTTCTTTAATAGAATTCTTGTAATGGACCAGATTATTGCATAATCTGAAAAAAGGAAAGAATAATTAAGGGAGAGAAAGAGAAAGGAGGAAATTGCATTAACTTTTCAACTGGACTAGCATTTACTCTCCATTGGTTTTAAGGAAGTCAATGGTAGATATAACTAGTGGCTCAAAATAACAGCCTAACTACGAGGGAGCACGTGCATTGCTTGTCAAGGTTCGAGCTTTTGATTTGAATTGAAATTTCACGAAGACTTAGATAATTATGTTTTTGCATTCATCTGTATGAGGTGTTTAGGATGTTAATTACCATGGAAGAACATATGAATTTTTTTTTTTTGAATAATTTAACTAGCTTGACAGTAAATATCAAACTGAACTTGTTAATTAATTTTAATTCCTAAAAAGCATAAAATGGTGTCAGATATCATATAAATTCAAAGAAGGAAGTTTACGATCCTTAGAGGCCAGTAATGTGACTATAGTGAGGTAACAGATTGTTTGGTTATTGATAAAGGATGATAAATTGTTCGATCTTTAATAAAGGGCCATGAAATGTTTAAATCTTCTTGTTTCTTTAACATTAGTAGCTAAAAATCAAGTATACAAAATGAAAGTGCTATATAACTTAGGAGTGATATTGAGAAGCTATGTTTCTAGTTTAAATTTGTTCACAATTTTATACTTGATCTCTTTGAGGAACTCTAGCAGTTTGTCATGTTGTCCCATGGGTATATAATTGTTTGATTATTGATAAAGGGTGATGAATTGTTTGATTAGTAGTAAAACGTCATAAATGTTTAACCTTCTTGTTTCTTTTAACTTTGGTAGCTAAACATCTGGTAGACAATGTTGAAGTGGACTCTAACTTAGGAGTGATATTAAGAAGCTATGTTTTACGGTTTAAATTGGTCGCAGTTTTATACTCGATCTCTCTCTAGCAGTGGTCATTTTACTCATGCATATATATGCTGGAACTTAGTGTCATTACTGAGTTGGAGCCTGTATAACAAAATATGATGTCTCAGCAAGTTTTGAGATGAACTTGATGTATCATCTACTGATTTCTTGTTTAGAAGAGCCCTTTTTCTTTCTTTTTCTGGCGTTGGGGTGTAAGAGCACATCATGTCTATTCCATTTTATTGCTATGTGACTTCCTGATTCTTATTTCCTATTCATTGGATAAAATGGATATAAACAACTTCCATTTTCCTCAAATAGATGGTGAGTGGAACAAATAACAAATAATTACACAGTAAACCTTCCAGAAACCACTAATCTTGCCCAATCAATTTTTTTCCAAATAATTTTGCCCATTAGTTTTCGAAAAGGTAACAAGTTTCAAGGAATTCTGTTTTTCCTTAAATGAAAAGACCAAATATCAAGGAAATTCCAGCCTCTTGTGTCTCCTTTAAGCACATGTTGAAGATAAAACTTAAAATATATTTTATTGAAATGCATATCATGATGAAGCATTTTTTTAGTGAAATGCTCAACTAATATGCATGATAATTAAAAAGCTATAAAAAGGTGAAGAGGAAAGAAAGAATTAACAGCAGCATTTCCCTCAGGGCTGGGGGGCAGTGGCTGTGGATTGAAGCAGGAACTTGTAAGTTTACTTTTGTTTGTGGCAAATCCATCAGTAGAAACTAATTGAGGGCCTATTAGCTACTTAGCTTAGATGCCACTAAAATAAGTTTATAGTAAGCTGAGAAGGACCTGAAAGTGTGCTCTAAATGGAAAAGCACACGTTGCTGTTCCTTGAACAGTGTTACTTTATGGTCTATGTTTAAGCAATGTCGACAATTGTAACTGGATATATGAGAGGCAATTGCAAAGAGTTCTTTCTATTCACTACAAAAGTATGGATAAGACTGTTATCTTTTATGTTCTTTTACTTGGTAATCTATAACTTCTATAACACACTCTCTGATAGTATTCAAACAAGATGATATTGCTGAACCAGTAACTTGGGAATTTTCTTTTTCTCTTTTTCTCTTTTTTTTCCAGTATAGCTATCCAAAGTACAATTTGTAAAACATTCTACATTGGCACATCTCTTTGGATTAAATAATAAAGTGCTCCTCTGGCATAGTATACCATGCACAATCCATTTGAAGGGCAGTGCTTGTGGCTGTGATAGTGTGTTTCTTAAACTTGCTGCTATAGTAATGTTTCTTCATCAAAAAAAAAAAAAAAGAAATCTTCATCAAAAAGTAATGTTTCTTCATATGATTGAGCTCAAGTAATTCAACTTATATGGCAGATTTCTGGCTGGAAAATCTGGTTTGAAGGGGGACTAAACTCTGAGATTTTTTATGTATTTATGCATGTATGATGGATTATTTGTGTATCCAGTATACATAACATGTGTAGAAATTAGTTGCTCAAAATGCTTTCACTTCTCTATCCAGGAAGGGGACTAGTTAAGTCTTGGTTGCATGGTACTTGGTTTCACGTAAACTTCCACCGGATAAATTTTTACATGGATAGAGAAGTTGCACAGAGGAGTTCACGTATACTTGTCCTAGTATACGTTTTCTTGAGTGGTTCATGTGACACTCTGTCCAATAGCTTTTAAATGCATTTGGTACAAGTAAGTGCAGTAATTGAGCTTGGAAGTGGACTGCACATGATCTAGAACATTTAGATATAAGGCCAAAGTAAAATTATCTTGCATCTCAAAACATAATATATACCCAGAAATAATTGATTTTGCATTCAATTGTTTGCTCAGCTATACTCGTAATGTGCAACACATGGTAATACCACTCTTTTTAGACATAACAACTACAAGATGGAATTATTTTGACATCTTCATATCCTGCTATCTTTACACTAACTGTCCCAGCAAGTCAGTCTGTCGGAGAGCTATATGGAGCTCTTAAGTATGAACTGCCACGTTTTGTTTGGGTAGGAAAAATTGGGTGGGAGTAGGGGGAGTAAAAAAGGAGGTCTGGGTTTTTCTCTTGGTATGGAATTCGTAGAGAGTGGAATAAAAGTGAAGGGACTACTACCCTTTCGTGCTCTTTTCATCCCCCTCTGAAGCTGATCAGGATGAGAAGTATCTTTCTATTTCTTTCCTTCCAACCCTACCCAACAATTGGAATAAAATTGCGGTAATCCACTTGAAGGAAGTTAACCATTGAGTGTCTCTCTCTCCTTTACCATTCCCCTTATCTTCATGGAGTTTTACAATGTGTCTTTCGCTTGGGATGAAGCCCAAAGTGCAATCATCACAACTGACGTTTTGAGGAGTGTACATGTTTGACAGCATGTGTGCAAAGTGCAAACATTATGGAAGCAAAGGATGCAGATTATCTAAATGTTTCACTGTAATGTGGTTTCACTTTCTTCTTTTTTGGTCCTTCATTTTGTATCTCTTTGAGGTCTAATGGCTTCTATCCTGATGTTAAATCTGAAGAAAAAGAAGCTCACATGTTTTTTTTTTCAATAGTGAAACTCAGTCTTTTAATAGTTTAGAAAATGTTAATTGGAAGATTACCTTTTCTTCTGTATATTGTTGGAGAAAGGAAAAAAAGGCCCTCATTGTGTGGATGTCTGTTTTTTTTTTTTTTTGTTATGTAGAGCCTTGTGCATCTTTCATAGTTCCTTTTCAGTATTCTCCTTATGCCTTATAATGCAATGACATTAATTTGTCTAATATTTACCTACAAGGAAGTCAACAATTTTGTATTTTTAAGATGTACTAGCATTACAGTAAAGTTACCCCAACGTCTTGGATAGTTTATATAGAATTCAGTAAACATAGCCTTTTGCTGATTCGTTTCTCTCATTTTCTTCCCCTTTCCTATTCCTGGTGGGTTCTCTGCTCCTATTTTTTACAGCTTATCTGTGTTAGTATATCAAGAGCATTACCTAGGTACTTAAAGAAGAAAGACATGGCAATAGTTGAGAATTGAATTGGAGAGATAGGTGTGTCTGATATCTATCTAATGAAATCTTCTTACTTCATTAAAAAAATGTCTGATTGTATGCTATGCTTATGAAGCCAGATGCTTCTGAAAGACTCCTTTGTAAAACACGGCACATGTTGGACATGCAAGGGACGTGCCCATCCCACAATTAATCATCTTTAGAAGTATTTTGCATTGTTTGACAGCACTGTCATACTTGTACTGTCAAAATTAGATCTTCAAATATTTTGTGAACTGGTTCAGATAGGATAGAATATGAGGATCATCCATCACTTCCTAATTATGTGGAAGGGAGATCTATCTAATCAGATTGATTGCATAAAGCCTGTGATAGCAATGCAATTCTAGTTATGTATGAGAATATGTTTCTCCGTACATGCTTTGTTATTTGATATAGTCATGCATATTGTATGGTACCATTAATATGGATCTCTTATCAAAACTATTCCATGTAATGTTGTTTCCTAAACTTCAAAGAAGTCTCATGTCTGGAAGTTTCTGATTATGTTTGCTTATAGTTTTGGATATATCAAGCTGTCCTTGGGCCTCAAGGGCCTGACCCTTCTGCAGTAAGAAGATAAGATCCATGTTCAGGAACTTTTTAATGAAAAAAACGAATTTTTATTTTTTTTGGAAAAAAGAAGAACGAATGGTGAGCTTTATGGTTTTCTATATTGTCAATTGTATATTCATTTTTCCATATCCTTATAACAGAGTAATAGTTCCTCTTCTTATTTAAAGTAGTGGGGGTTAATGTGCTTTAGGATGCAACCGACTTTCCATGTGCTTTACAAAATAGTCAACAAATTCTCTGCTCTGTTATTTATCTTGCGAAAAATGCTTTTGATGTAACATCCGGCGTTTTTCATTTCATCTGTCAATCTTTTCAGGTCGAGGAGAGAGTTGCAGTAATTTATTTGCATGCCAGTCCTCTTTGCTATCAATATCTTTTTCCTTCCAATTTTCATACATTATTTGCATGATGACCAGTTTACCATGAAATTGGCTGGCACTTCATCTGGAAACATGCCCACTCTTTACTCCATGGACGTGTCCACAGATTTTGTTCCGATGTCTATATTTTCTGAGTCAGCTCAAGGTGAGGACCTCTTAATGGTTTGACAGCTGTATCTGTGAGATTATTTCACATCATGCTGAATGAAAATTCTATTTTGTAGGAAGGCTTTCTGTGGAAGGAAAGATATACCAAAAATTTGATATGAAGCCTCATCATGAAAACAGTGAGAACTATGGAAAATTATGCCGTGAAAGGACCAATAAGTACATGACTAAAACTAGACAGATTCAGGTACAGTTACACCTTTTTCCTGGTTGGATGTTGGCTTATTTGTATAGCCACTTTGATGTTGGATATATTGATTTCTTATTTTTAGTTGCTTTTGAACCTGCTTTTTTCTGATTCGCAGGTTATTGACAACGATAATGCCAAACATATGAGGCCTATGCCTGGACTTTTTGCTACTAAGGCTTCTGGATCTGCAGTAATTTTCAGCTTCTAATGTTTAATCTTTTGTGTTCAGCATCTAATGTTGTGGCTACATAGGTAGAACATATGAATGTGATCAAATTTAGGTCACAGAGTTAAAATAACCACCTTTAATTAACAGGAAAAGAAGAAGGTACCAAGTAAGGGATTAGAAATGAAAAGAACAAGGAGGGACCGTGATGAAATGGAAGAAATCATGTTTAAACTCTTTGAGAGGCAACCAAATTGGACACTGAAACAGCTGGTCCATGAGACGGACCAGCCTGAGGTATGTCTGCTTAGAGCTCAATTTCCCAATTGTTACTTTGCCCCTCTTTTAAAGTATGTCGTCTGTCAGTTGAGTACTTAGATGGTCTAGATGGAAGCGCTGGATCTTGTCTTGCACAGTTGCTTGCTTATCAAAGTACTAAAAAGCTGTTGAGCATCGTTTTCTGTGTGTTCTTGTGATTAACCTTAATTTAGATTTTATGCTTGCTTGGCTATTTTTGTTACAGCAACAACGGCCTACTATTACGCCTCAGTCCCAAACAAGTTAGTCGGCTATATGAATCCTCACTGACCATATTGCTTGACTATTTTTGTTATTTATTTATTTATTTTATTTATTTTCACGAGAAGGATTTTTTTATCAGTGGTAAATAGAGCAGAGGATTAGAGATGTCCTTAAACTAAATAAAATATGTTTATTAACTGGATCTTCGAATCTCACTGAAGATCTGGTGGGAATTCCTGTAAGAGGCCTATTACCATCTGCTTGTGAAAGACAAGAACACAACTTTAATCCATATATATGTTGTTTTAAGAGAATTGATACTGAAGTATCCTGTTATTCTGCTGCATTGAAATAGACCATCAAACAGCTATCATAGCTCCTCTTTAAAAGGTTATTATCGTTCTTGCTGTGACCGGAATCCATATATACATCTCATGGTTTTGTTGAACCTTGTCAAATACTCAAATTCAAGTTACTTCAGGTGTACTAGATATTGTCATTTGGATTAATATATCACCGTACGCTGATATTGTCATATGGATTAATATATCATCATACACCACCAGATTCAATTATTTTTAGTTGCTCCAGTTGAAAACTTGGTAGTGTAGCGGACTATATTTCTTTGCTATAGAGGCCCTATCCTTGAGCTGAGGGTCTATATGAAACAGCCTCTCTACCTGCCCAGGTAGGGATAAGGCTGCATACACACTACCCTCCCCATACCTCACTTGTGAGAAAACACTGGGTATGTTGTTGCTGTTGCTGTTGCTATCGAGGCCCTATCAATCTCCTAGTACTCTGTCTGATTCTGTTGGATGCAGGACATCTTTATCTCTCATTCCAGATCTCCATCCCATTTATGGTTTAGTCCTTCAAATTTTAAAATAGCCTTTCTTGTTAGTTGCTGATTGTCTGCACTATTATTAGTTAATTTTTATCAAGCAGGTTACTTTCTCTTTTACAAGGTTTAAGCGTGGTGTGGGGCCCTACAATAAGGATGCACTTGCTTTTAATAAGTGCCTAGGAGTAAGAATAGATTAGTTAGCTTTTTGGGTTATGCGGACATTACGCATGAGATGATTCATGCATTTTCCAAACGACATATAAATCAAAATATTGTTTGGGCATCCTCAAGGAATGGAGCAATTAGCGAATTATTAGAGATTATCTTGTTTCATCATAGAGATAGGTATCCGTGTAAGGATAGATGTGATATATAGATAACTCTTAATTTGTCTTAAAAGTCAAGTTTTAAGTATTTGAATGAAATTGACCTAAATAGTGGGGAATGGATATTGAGGATCCATATAGCCGACAGAACTAATTTGTGATTGAGGAGCAGTTGATTGATATATTATATAGTTGTTGCTTAGCTAGTATTAAAGCTCATCTATTGGCACTAACTTGTCTAAGGCAAAAGCTTAATAGAGTACATTTTCACCCGATAAATGTTTTCAGATTGTTTCCAGATGTAAGATGTGTTTGGTATGGTGAAAATATATTTTGGAAAATGTTTACCACTTTTCCCATATTCGGTTGGCCTAAGATTACTTTTCCTTAAAAAGCTGGAAAATAACTTCCCTGACATGCTAAGGGAATTCATTCTCCCAGCACATCTCAGGTGCTACACATGCTCATAACTTCCGACTCATCTGCGTTGCTGAGTAGTTGCATATTCTTAATTTCTGACCGGGCCATGTGCATAACTTCAGTTTGCTCTCCTTTTGTACTTACCCCCCCCCCCCCCTTTTCCCCAAAGAAAAGAGATACTCCAAAACCTGCAAGTTATAATAGTTGCACATTTGTGTAACATCTCCCTTCCTACCTATATCAATATTGCAAGAATGGGCTTGAATATTTGTTGTACTAGTTATCGTGCCTGGATTATTGTTGCATGAGAATGATTAGCAGAATTTAGTCTTTCATGTTTTTTCTTCCATTTAACCTAGTTGTATTGTTGCAGCAATTTATGAAAGACATGCTCAAACTTCTCTGCATCTACAACAATAAGGGCGCGCATCAAGGCACTTACGAGCTGAAGCCTGAATACAAGAGGTCAGAAGACAAGCCTGATTGTTGATTATTCATAGCATAAGCTTTCTTGTCAGGAGCCTTGGCCATCAGCCAGGAGAAAACACCAATTGTTTCAGCTTGAAGACACCATTCTTTTTGTGCATAAGATCAAGTTTAGAGAAATCCTATGGTTGTAATAGTATATTTGCTTTATTCAAATCAATTAAGTATCTTCTACCTTTAGATTGCTTATCTTTTCAGCAAACTAGAATAATAGTGATAGAAGGAAAGCCGCCAGAAACGAAGCATATACTTTTGGAAAAGGGAAGTATCTGAAAATCATATAGACATTCACGTCACTGGACAACTATTCTTTGCTGGCAGACTTGGATCTCACGTTGTCAACTTTGACTTTAAGCTAAATATAAGGAGTACGTTCCTCGTTATTTAGCCCATTGAGATGGGGCACAAAAGGTGGACATTAGGTAATAGGTATGAGTAACTTGGGTTGAATTTGGCTCTTAAATGTTTTGACTTTCGTGTTCTCTTGCCAAAATTTTGCATGAAGATTCGTGGTTAGTCCTCTTACCAACTTTGACAATGTCCTTGATATCCCTTCCCCCCCCTTACCCCCCCCCCCCCCCCTCTTTGCACGTATGAAGGGATTGGGTGTTTGTAAATTTGACCAATTCTCTAGTTGCGAAGTTTATTTACGAACAGTCAGTGCGAGTCTGCGAGAGACATGCGCCAAAATTCGGCACAAAATGTTGAAAATTACAGAATTGACATTTTCCAAGCAAAATCTAGAATTCTTGGAACATTTGATATTCAGATGAACCACATAGTAACAAGGCAATAATGCTGCTAGCTATCAAAATATCGGATTCATGTTTCAAAACACTACAAGAATGTGTCTTTAAGATAAATGTCAAAATAAACTAATTGTTTCACTATTATTTACAGTCTAAATATATGAAGGTTATGTTTCTTTAAAAGTAAAATAAACAATCAATTACAATGTCAAAAGACATGTTAGAGCTCGAATGTTTTATTCATGAAATGAGAGTATTGTCTAAGTCATAGGTAAAAAATAAATCAGATGGTCAACTTTGTTCGAGTATTTTAAGTATAGTGCCATATACTATATTTTATTATGTTAATGGCTTCATATCATCTCTATTGTTCAGGTAGTTGACCTGTCACATTAGCGCAAATATTAGTTGGCCATCTGAAATTTTAATTTAGAGAAAATTAAGACTTTGGTAAACAAACCCGTTTGTTGAAAAAGGGATGAAACTTGCAATATGATTTGGTGTGTCAATTATAAAGCTTATTTGCACTGGCGGATGCAAGATTTCCGCCAAGGGGATTAAAAAAAAGCGAAAAATTAAAAGAGATTGTGGCTAGTAAGAATTGAACCCATAACTTTACAAAAATTTTGAACCACCTTAACCATTAAACTATGTCTATGGGTTGAATCAAGGGGATTTAAAATATAAAATATAGAGATACAAACTAGATTTTGCCTTATATACACAGTGTAATTTTCCGGCCTAGGGGGTTGGGGAGCCCACTTCCCCCCCTGCTTACAGAGGCGGAGCCACAGTGTCGGATGCGGGTTCGACCAAACTCAGTAGCTTTGATTCAAATTATGTATTTGTCTTAAAATTTTCATTAAATATATATAAATTATTAATTTAGAATCGAGTTACTTAAAAATATTAGAATCCATAACCCATAAGCTTGAAATCCTTTGCCTGCTTACTTATCAACTCGGGGGAAGAGTTTCGTTTAATTACCAAGTGTGTATGAACTCCGTTTATTGAGTTTCCTATGAAATTATTAGATGGACGAATAAGTAGTTGTTCTCGTATTAGTTTGCCAAACTTACAGCTTGTTTGGATGGTTGTTACATATCGTTTCATAATGTATCGTATCGTATCGTATTGTATTGTACTGTATCGTTTGATGAATACAATGTTTAGATGGATTGTGTCGTTTTGCCTTCGTTTCATGGTATCCTGCTCCAGTAATATGATGAATAAATTTGCAATATTATAAAGAAAAATTATGATACGGTATATAAAAAGGTAGGGTAAATGATAAAATAAAATTATTTAATAAGAATAAAGGGTGAGATTGAGAGAAAAAGACAAGGTAACGACGCGACCACACCAAATCGGTCGTTACATAAAGTGGCACATTTCATCGTTACGTAACGACGAATTTAACGATACAATACAATAAAATTTAAGTAACAATCAAAACAAACATTGTATTTAAAGTAACAATACGATACAATACAATAGGTAACAACCATCCAAACAAGCTGTAGTGTGCCTAATATTTTCCAATGGCCAACTTAATAAATTTACGAATTCATACTATCTACTATCTAGCACACTACCTACTACATGATGCTTTTCTAACCTACTGGATTAAATTTTTAGGCAATGCATTCCTGAGATTTTGTCTCATGTTCATTTTCTAAGCTAAAAGGGATATTTTATTTTGCAGGGAAAAAAGTTCAAAAATGATAAAAGTAATATATATGTCCCATTTCTCGACAAGCTCACCTTATCCTTGCTATCTATTCAAACATTTACTCTTGTCACAATATCTTATATTAAAGAATTATTGAATTAAATGTGTAGGAACTTCCCTCCGTATTTTCTTTAAGTAGGTGTTTCCTACATTAGTATACACCTTTACCTTTTTAGAAGGATTAAACAATTTGAGATTTTATTTCTTGTATTTTTTCACATGGTTATAATTTGACCAAGATGTGGAGCGACTTCACCTCTATTATAAAAAATAAAATATAAAACTTCAACAAATTATTGAAAAAATAATGCTTAAGTGGCAAGTAGTTTTAAGAAAGCATAAAAAACTTTGGTTGAAAAAGATTCCAATCAAAATAAACAGGTGTGTTTTTTTCTTTATTAATATTTCATATTGGATTATATTGTATAATTGTTTCGGAAAATTTAAGATCGCCTTCAAATTAAATGCATTGGTTTCATACCAAAACAAGAATTACGACACTTGAACAAATTTCTTCATCCATGAGCATGAATGAACAAGGGCAAATTACACTAATAATCCCCTCTAATATGACACTTGCAGATAATTTCTATGTATTTTAAAACAAAATAGTTACACCCTCTTACACTATGAAAATCCTTCACAAATATTTAGCTTGTATAATATTTTTCAATTTTATGAAACTTAAGAGGATAAACATTCTTGTTGAAAATTTCTATTCACATCTTTGATTAAAAGAGATTCTTTTTTTTTGAAACATTCATTTTTAAAATTCTTAATAGGAAATGACCATTAATTATATGAATATTTAGTGTAATTTATCCCAAAATAGTTTGACTATTTCAAAAAGTTTAGAGAGGTATAGGGAAATTTTCATAAAGCACTATCTTTTAGTAGTAATTAGCCATCTATAGATACCATTTGCTATATTACGGATTATAGATACCTTTTCTGTGGTTATAAGATGTATTTGATGTATTTAACCTATTGTATTCATGAATACAATAGCAAAAATAGACGTGAATCAGGGAAGTCCAGGCTGGACTGTCCAGCTAATCAGTTGTTGTATTCGAGTGTATTCGACTGTATTCATCGCGTGAAACATGGGATTACAGCTAGACAAATTACTGTATTCGACTGTATTCACGGCGTGAAACAGGGGATTACACTATTTTAAAACGGAAAGTGTATCAATTAACATAATAGACTCCTAATATAACTCAACAAACTCAATTATAACACACAAAATATGTATTTCCGGTTATAAAAAGATTTTCAACTGAAAAATATCCCCAAAACATAGCAATCTTCTGATAAATTATATAATACATCTGAATACATAAATTATATTAATTAAAAAAATATATGAATACATTCATGGCATATAGTGAGATAGTGAATACAATGAAATACATAGAGTACAACGGGATACATTGAAAAATAATGAAAAAAGATAGTGAATACAATGAAATACACGGAATACAGCGAGATACATTGAATTATAATGGAAAAAAAAAGACAATGAATACATGAAAATACAGCGTAATACGTTGAAAATACATTAAAATATATTAACAGAAAATCAAGTTGCTCAGCCCCAAACTCCGTCGTCTTTGCTCAAGAACAAACCCTAATTTCTGGCTTGTAGCCAAATAGTCCTTCCATCTTCAAAGATCTTGCACAACACTAATTGAACCGGAACTTACAGAATATTTAATCGAAACTTAATTGGATTCTTGTCTAGTTATCCACATGGAATGAAATCCAGGCATCAATAAAAGATAAATATGTGATGAAGTCAAGCATTGTAAACTTGGTGAGATTGGGTCTTCAGCGACGGAATACAGCGAGATAATCACCAACGATTTCGTGGATTTGCTTCAACATGATTGGATCTTCGGGTTAAAGTTTGTTGTTACTGTGCTGCTGGTCGTTGGATTTTTCAGTTGAGAAGATGCCGTTAGAAGGAGGAGGAGAGCGGAAATTTTAATGGGATGGGGGAAGAGAATGTGATGTATCAAAGTAGAGAGATAAAGAAAATAGTGTAACTGAATAGCGTATTTAGTGACTTAGGGCTAGGAGGTAACCAAAATTAAATATTTTGCCATAAATCTTAAAAGGTATCTATAGAATATAATTTTTTTAAATGATATTTATTTAAAATAAATAAGGTTTTATAGCAACGCTGGACCGGTATATTATGCTGGACCGGTCTCTATTGCAGCAAAATAGTGGCTATTTTTCATTGACTTGATAAACACTGGCTATTTTTGATTGACCAGTCCGAAAACTGGCTATATCGTGCTATTTTTACAAAGTTCCATATTAATATTATGATAGAAATGAAGTACTCAAATGTGGTTTTTTTCGAAGTTGTTACCTAAATCGGGCCACGACAACGAGAAATCAGAATTTCTTTGCAAGGAAAATAATTTTAGAAACTATTACTAGTACAATATAAAGATGAAAACAAAAAAAAAAATTACAAAAATAAAAAGAGTAATAAATCTTAACTGATAAATAAGGATAAATAATTTTCTTATAAAAAATCAACTCATATGTTTTTTCCCATTCGTTAGTATAAAGTCTTTGAACCTCATTTAGTTTCATTTTAGCTTATGATTTATCTTCACACAAGATCTGCTATAAAAGATTATTTATTTTATTTTCCAAAATTACTAATTGTATTGAGTATAATACTATGTAAATTAGGAGAACATTTTAGGTAATAATGTTGTATATAGAGAGTAAAGTAGTATATTAAGTATTTTCCTAATATATTCATTCCACAAAAAAGTAGGAGTAATAGAGTAGTTATTTATTATTCCTATTCCTATAAGCCGGCGTGGATCGTGTGTTTGAGTGTATTCCACATTGGCGTGTGTTCAACACGGCGTCGTTTGCTTTCTCTTCTCTTCTCCCGATCACCTACCCCATAAACTACTCCCACCTCTCCCTTTGAATTTGATCCTTTCCTTTTTCTTCTTCTTCT